GCGACTGCTACGTCACACCCCGGCGACTGGTCAGCTGATATCGACAACTGCGGAGTTGCCGGCGACTGACCCCGGTCGCTGGCGATCGCCGGCGACCGGAAAAGTTGCTACGTGTGAAAGGGCCATTACTGAAACACCGAGCGACGAAGGAGCGAGGTTTTTCTGTAACACGCGAGGAAAAGATATCCGATCTTCCACGAGTGAGCCATGAGGAATCCTATATCTTTCTATGTTGAAGGTTATTCTTAATTAATAAAATATTAAATGTATTTGAATGCATTCATCTATGTAAAATAGATTCAGAGTAGTTTGTTCTTATTTCATAAGTTTCATCCATAAACAACCATTAAAAATGTCGTTCGGTTATTGACCCATCATCACTTGAACTCTTGATTTTCGCTATGAACCCTCGAGACCTTATCTTTCCATCTCAGAGGGATGCAGATATAACAAATTCTTATCTTTGCATCTCAGAGGAGTGCGAGATTATTTGGTATTTGGTAGTTATTTGGTATGCTTAAAATTAATATCACTCACTATGTTAAAGCCGATCTTTTGAGTTCCCCCAGGTCCCGCTCTAAATCGTGTGTCACAACGTGCATTGTGATGTTATCGAACCGGCCAAGCAATAAAAAAGTGCGCGAACTTGCGCCATTTGCTGCCATGCAACATTTTGCAATACGCTGTCTAGCCTTTATTAGCTCCATAGTGACGGGAGCGAACAAATCAGCCTGCATTTTAGCTTATATTATTTCAATTGATGACGGTAACACCAGCCAGTGTTATCTCGTGGGTTAGAAGCATTCTAATTGACCGGAGGATGACCTGTCACGTGACCGGAAAGGCCTCAGGCGATGCACAGTGGGCGATCCGGCCGGTCTGGTCTCGCGAAACCTCAAACACATTTTGTTTCCTAAAAAGTTGAGAAATATTGCACATGAGATAATGGAAAATTCTGCATAAGTCACGCCCCCCCCCCCCGAGGGGGATGCGACTCCCTTATTGGTTTTATCGCGATAGCTCACAACACGACGGCGATAAAGAGCTGAAACTTGATATACTTGACCTTTGATTGAAGCCAAATCTTGTTACATCAACCGCATTTTCAGGTCAGGTCAGGTCGCTGACCTATGACGTCATAAGTGAAACTCTGCACGGTCCTCAGATGTCGCAACTTCGCAACGCCCTCAGTGCCAGAGGGGCTTTCACAGGGAGATAAGCTTACAGGGCGTAGCATACTCCGAGGTCTCACAGCTTGTGTATCTCGGATTTTTTGCTAAAGTTCACATGCGGTCAGGTCGGTCACGTGACCTCACCATTATAAGTCAATGAGGGAAATACGGAAACTGTTATTTTAGCGCCGGGAATGATTTAACCTTCCAGGCGGTGGGGGGGGGGGGCATTTTTTTGCCCCCCTTTAGTTTTTTCAATATATCTTGAGAACCGCTGCGCCGATCGTCACCAAACTTTCAGTACCCTCCCGGGAGCAGCTAGCGCACATGGTGACCAAAAATTTTTCCAAAGGCTATGATAGGTTGGCCGCTAATGACGTCAGAGTGACGTCATTTTTGCCATTTTCGACCCAAAAAAAGGTTTCGCGGGAAGAGCTGTCAGGCCTACAGCTTTAGAGACACAGAAAAATGTTTCGACATAAAATGCGTGGAATCAAAAGGGCTACAAAACTGCTATTTCGGTTTTTTCGATTTTTTTTTGGATTTTGACCCCCAAAAATCAAAAAATATATTTTTTGAATATAATAGTCAAAAAATCCAAAAAGTTTTTTGAATTTCGAAAAAAACGGAGTATATGTGATAGTCCCTACCGCCTTCTATCTACATACCAAATTTGAGATCGATACCTCTTTTTTTGGCCAAGTTATAGCGAAAAAACTTCAAAATTGATGACGTCAAATTTTTAAACTCAATTTTTAGCAATTCTAGACCTCGTAGAGCAAAACAAAGACCCCCATTAGACTCCCCGTGACGAGCTGCATCAAATCGATACCCATTTTATGCAAAAATATCAACTTTGAAATTTGACCTTTTTTGACCTGACCTTGACCTAACCTCCACCAGAAAGTGGCCTAAACCGTACCTGATGGTCTTATAACCAACACCATTGAGTTGGAAAAAAACTGGCCATAAAACATGCATCGCATAACCTTAGTAAAGTTGGGCTCATGTGGTGACCCTTGGTGACCTGACCTGTGACCTGACCTGGTATGACCAGTGACCTCTAATAGCAACATATGTACTAGACAACTGACGCCTTATCGTTGATTTTCGACAGAATGCTCGGTGTTATAGCGCTTTCCCTAGAAGCCCCGTGAACGGTGAAACATTTTATCTTTGACCTGACCTGTGACGTCATCGGTGACCCAGAGGTCAATGAAATTTGGTTTCCCTCAACAAATTTGACAGGGCTATCGAACGCCGTTTGAAGTTTCCGGATCCGTCCAGTAGTTTCGGAGATACGGGGGGGGGGCAAAAAATGCCCCCCCCCCCCACCGCGCGGAAGGTGGCTGGTAGGCCCACCGCCTGCCGGGTTAAAACTATCTCAAGCACATGCAATCATGGTTTCATGCGCTCCCTGCAAGGTACGATGCTACACCTTTGCATTGCTGACCTTGCGGGCCATATTAGTTTTCCGTCAATAACTCCGGAACAAAGTGAGTTAGACAGTCGACCTCCTTTGACCAAGTTCGTGACCTGACGGACTCTGACCAGACTTTGACTCGAGGTCAACGACTCAAAACCTTAACCCTCGACTTAACCTGCGATTTGAGGGTGGAACCTTTGTGAAATTAAGGGTGTAGATTCATGCTCTACTCACTAAAAGTTGCGTTGCGAAATCATTGGTAGTATTACTGAAGGAATTAATTGCGAAGTCGAAATCAATTAGTTATAAGACAGGTAAATACGGTTGAAAATGAATGTAATGTTTTAAGGCGGCGACTGATTCATGCAATCGATCTATGAATATGGCTATGAGTTATGATTTTCGACAGATACGAATGCTTGAGCTTACGGCGGAATTTCTTCTGTTACTTAGGTGCAGAATTGAGAGTAGTGGTTTTAGGTCGACGGTTTGACACTTTGCGACTTTAGGTGGTCCTTGTACTTAACGTATTGAAATTGCGAAATGTCGAGTAAAAGGTAGATGTAGAATTGTTTGTGGTTAGAACTAATATGCGACTAATATACCGATCGTTGTGCTTTTCGTAGAATAAATGCTGGAAAAGATATACGGTGCAGCAGACCACTTGCACATCTCGAGTGACAAGGTCGATGGCGCTACGACTTGGTACGCTATTAGGGACCGGTTAGTAGTGGGCCCAAAAGCCAGTTGAAGGTATCACTTTGCAATTCGGTACGTGCCAAGGCCGCTCTCGTGCTCGCTTGTTTGTCGCCGCAAAAGACGTCTTACATGTAGTAAAAACCGTAAATTTGACAATTTTGTAAATTAATCGAAAAGTGTATTTGTAAAATCGAAATGAAAGTACAATAAGTACCGTTACACATTCATTTGGTGATAAAGACCTACCAAGGCCCTGGAATCATGTCCACATCATTCATCACCCATATCTCAGTTTATGACAACAATCCCGGATGATCAACAGCTACTTCCAACATAACACAACTCGCTTTCACTTGTGGCTGATATCTTAAATCGAGCTTCGCTTTTTTGAAAATGAATTTTACCTTTTTGAAAACGGATTTCAGGTTTATCAGTGATGTTCAACTTTTTAAAATTGAACGCGAAATTTCTAACTTTCGTTTTCCACTTTTTAATACTAACCCTTCAGCCGAGCAGAACGAATTAACCCGTAACCATTGTGGGGTCTGTTAACGCGACCTGGTGGGAGGGGGATATTTTTTGCCCCTTCCCTCGTATCTCCGAAACTACTGGACTGATCCGCAAAACTCAAACGGCGTTCGAAAGCTCTGTCAAATTTGTCGAGGGAAATCCAATTTCATTGACCTCGGGGACACCGACGACGTCACAGGTCAGGTCAAACATAAAATGTTTTGCCGGTTACGGGTCTTCTAGGGAATACGCTATAACATCGAGTAAAACGCATTTTATCGAAAATCAGCGATAGGGCGTCAGTTGCCTAGTACATATGTTGCTATTAGAAGGAACTGATGGTACCAGATCAGGTCACAGGTCAGGTCACCAAAGGTCAGCACATGAACCCAATTTTACTAGGGCTGTGTGATGCATGTTTTATGGCCAGTTTTTTATTTCAAACTCAATGGTGTTGGTTATAAGACCACCAGGAACGGTTTATGTCACTTTCTGGTGGAGGTCAGGTCAATGGCAGGTAAAAATGGTCAAATTTAAAAGTTGATATTTTTGCATAAAATGTGTATTGATTCGATGCAGTTCGTCACGGCGAGTCTAATGGTGGCGTTTGTTTTGCGCTACGTGGTCTAGAATTGCTTAAGTTTGAAAATTTGACGTCATCAATTTTGAAGTTTTTTTTGCTATAACTTGGCCAAAAAGAGACGTATCGATCTAAAATTTGGTATGTGAATAAAAGTCGGTAAGGACTATCATATATATTGTTTTTTTTCGAAAATCGTTTTTTTTATTTTTTTTTCAGCAAATACATTCAAAAAAATATATTTTGTTATTTTTGGGGGTCAAAACTCAAAACATGAAAAATCCTGGAAAGTAGTTTTGTAGCCCTGGTAGTTCTATAACTTTTATATCGTAAACGTTTTTCGGTATCTTCAAAGCCTGACAGCTCTTCCCGCGAAACCTTTTTTTGGGTCGAAAACGGCAGAACATGACGTCACTCTGACGTCATTTTCGGCCAACTATCATAACCTTTGGTAAATTTTGGTCACAATGTGTAAAATTGATGCCCGGGAGGGTACTGAAAGTTTGGTGACGATCGGAGCAGCGGTTCTGGAGATATATCGAAAAGTCTGAAGGGGGGAATAGCCCCCCCCCCCAGGGCGCGGGTTAAGGACTGACAAAAACTTTCCAATGGATAGTTCCTACACTTTGTTTATTAATGCGCATTACCATCGAACGGCATTGTCGCTTATAAAAACATATGTCGATCGCAGGAGAAAACTGTCACCGTATGAGCGGCGGCGGGCCGCGCAGCGTCTGACTGCGCGGATAGGTACGTCTGGCGGAGAGCTGTCACTGCGCGGATACTCTGAGTGAGATACTCTGAGTCACTGTGTGGACAGGTACGGTGAGTCACTGTGCGGTGACAGGGACTGGACACGCCGTCCGCACGCCGCTGGCGGACATGTACCGCAGGCAGTGAGATGGCCGCGCCCCTGCCGTCATTGGCTCTTGCTGGAGGGATGAAGCTTTCGCTGGCGGGCCCGCGCCTCCTGTCTGATGTTGGCGTACTCGAACCACATCACACACGGGATAAGAGTGGTATCGCAGATCAGCAGCAGCTCGCAGACGCGCCTGTGAAAGTACCGCGGCACGACGTCAGCCAACAACCGAGTCACAACGCTCCATTGGCAAACAAATCGGCAAATAAAGCAAAAGAACGAATGCCATTCCAAATCCAGCGAATGCAATGCGCACCTGTAAGAAGAAATACTTGGACATCTACCTAACTGAGAACGCATGCTGCTGCACAATTTCCTTTAGCAATTTCTAAACATAACAGAACCACAAGGGAACAACAAAACCACCCGTAATGAGCGTCGCCGACGCAACGATTATTATCAGGCGCAGTTCCACAGGCAAGGGGCGCAACACAGTGGCCACCGGCAGACTTACCATTGCACGATCTGCGGAAAGCACGGCGTGAAGACGTAGTGAACCAAGATAAACCAGACGACTGCGAGAGCGAGGCCGACGCCGCCTCCGCAGACCACCTGCCACCACGTGTGGTACTGGAGGTAGACCCTGTGGAGGACACGGCGCCGCGCCGGTGAGACCCATCCACACACTGCACGGGCCGCCCGAGCTGCTGCTGAACGCCGGAGCCACCCACACAGCAGAGGGCAGGCGCTGACCAGACACCTCGTCAGCGCCACAATGTCAATGGCAGCGCATATAGACACCTCGTCAGCGCACACAGACACCTCGTCAGCACAAACAGACACCTCGTCAGCGCCCCAGACGAGGGACACCTCGTCAGCGCCACAGACAATGGCAGCGCAGATAGACACCTCGTCAGCACAAACAGACACCTCGTCAGCGCACACAGACACCTCGTCAGCGCCCCAGACACCTCGTCAGCACCACAGACAATGACAGTGCAGACAGCCCACAGCAAAACGGCATTTCCGGGGGGAGGGGGGAGGGTCTCTAATCTTCGCTCCAGTGGGTACGGGTGTTTTTTATCCCCAGGCTTCTTTCGTGTGTAAAGAAAACCTCGGCGCGCAGCGTCACGAAAGCAGTGGTATGGCTTATAGGCTATAGCACATCACGTTTGCATTGTGTGTTAACAATTTGGTTACAGGTTACCCAAGGTCAGGTCACCATGTCACCATCATGTTTAATTGCCCCACCCCACCGGCCAAATAACCCCGCTAGCGGGGTAATTTGGCCGTTTTGCAGACTTTTGTAGAAGGTCAAAATTTAAGCATAAGTAGTTACTCTATCATTTTCAGTTTACTGTAGGCAAAGGAAAATGATTAGTCACACCTGCCAGCGTTGAGAGAGTGCAGAGATACATGCAGGGTTGGGCAGATAAATTGGGACAAATTTCAACTTCCTCTAAAACGACTATTTTTTAAGTGATTAAGATAATTTTTGAACATAAATATAGGCTAATGAATATTTTTCCATGTTATGCAGGTTGCGTTGTAATTTTGAGTCGGCTGGTCACAGAACGTGGGCTTAGGCAAGCCACTATCAACTTAGTCCGCGCGCACATGCATGCCAATATTCTAATTATGCTCCATCAAATGGCTGAAAGTAGTGTGTATCGAACAGACGTAAACGTTGGAGGAAGAGATGATATTGACTCATCCTTACATACCTATTGCATTGACACCGGCCGCTCCCCCGGTTTTCCAGGGGGGCTAAAGGGCAAAATTCAGTTAAATCAGATGATCCTCGCGAAAACAGTGGCGCGAGCTTACAACGAAGGTAGCCGCGCCATGAGAAAGCGATATACCATCACCTCAAACATGTACTCTTATGCACTGATGCATATCAACCTGTTAACATAGATGTTGAAGCAGCTGTGACGTTAAAAAGATTGTTTCCTCTTGAAGGGCTTGGAGAAGCGAGCAAGCACGTGCAGGTCATTTCTGCCGATGGTATCCCCATAATCGAACATATGAACAACCGCAAACACCATGTAACATCGCAACCAGCCCAGAAGACGTGATCTTAGTTCCAAAAAAAAAAAAACATGCAGCAGACATCATTCCACTCCGTGACTTCTGACGGTCACGTGGGGCCCCCTTATTTTACGTAATCGGGAGGGGGTTCGCCATTACAGGGTACCTAACCATTATTCCGGCAGTTCGAACCAACAAGATGGAAGAAGGCAACATCCTGCATGGGGTGATGCTCTTCGAGGAGTCAGCTCCCCGGCATACAGTAAATTAAATACAAAATCTCCTGAAACGGAGGATCCCGCAAACTGTGCCCAAGGGAAAATGCCTCCTTCCTCATTAAACCTCAGCCCACACAAGTTCTGGTTGCTGGGGCGTTTTTGCGGGTGAGTCTAACGAACGTCCCCAATCCCATGTGACTGTGGCGAGCCTCAGCAGTGCCAGTCGGCTACAATCACGAGCCATTTCAGACGGGAGATCTCGCCGCGCGTGCAGTCAGTCCAGGCACCGACAAGGACTGATGCAGGTGGACCACGGTGACCATATTTGGTGATAAATGTGTAAAATTGGTGTGACAATATGTGATCCAAATTTGAAATGCCTATGTTTACAAATTTCTAAGCTACGGCGTTTTAAATGCAAGTACGTAATTTACCCAATTTATCTGCCCAACCCTGTATTTCGCCAATTTTGAGATACAACGCTTTCTAAAAAAAGCGGCCAAGTTGCCCCATCCTCCCCTATACAGATAAGAGGTTTATGCTGCAATTTTAGTGGATTTCTGTTGAAGACTGTTGAAAACGTTATAAAGTCTAAGGAACGCACTAAATTTCTATATATTCCTAGATCTATTTTGACGGATCCACACACATATCAGGACAGCTATAGCTTACCTGCTAAAAGACACCAGTGCTGCGCACACACAACAAACGGCTGCCGCCAGCTGCTTCCAGAAGTTCAGTATCATGGATGACGTCTGGACATGGTGCAGCCTGAGAACAGCAGACAACACAGGTAGACGCCATTGCCAATATAGGCAAACAAGGCGCCGTGACGGCCGGCTATTTGGTATTTGTATATTCAAATACATACTTGACAGGTCACGAATTGTACACAGTACAGTAAAAAAAAAAAAAACGCTCCTATCTCCATTCCCCTATTTGCTCCCTTTGCCCCCACGAGACAGGTATCTCGCTAGTTCAGGGTCAGACATAGGGTCACGGTCCAGGCCCTGGGCAATAAACTGTGCCCGCATTTCCTGATAGAGCTCGCGATACTTTTTCAGAAGGTCTGTCGACCTAGGAAACTGCTCCGTCTCTATCATCAGAGAAGGGGTTTCGGTGTCTGTTAGGATCGTGACGAGGTCGTTCACAGCAATATCGGAGCCTTTGTCGTCATGCGTATCGAGTAAGCATTCGTGGTCGTTAATGTTCCTCGATTCACACGAGTTTTCACTGCCCCCAGCTTGCCAATTGGTGTCGTCCTTGTCGTTGGGCTCGATGATGCTTTCAGTTGTGTGGGCTGCTCCCATGAGGATTGACGTGGCGTTACCACGGAGCACGGCAAGCGACACTCGCTGAAAGAGGTACTCTGTAGCCCTCCGCCGCTTTCACGTGCTATTCGCCGACCTAACTACGTCCTTCAAGAACTGGACAGTGGACTGTCCCAGTGAGTCACTCGTTTCGACGGCGATGGGCTGGAACTTGAAACGCCTTTCCAGCGCTCCATAGCGGCGCCTCTTCCGGCTTTCGGCGGCTTCTGCTGCAGCTCCTGCATGGACCGCCGATTTAACGATGATGTAGCTGGCGTATGTATCCACGCAGGTGCTGTCCCATATAAGGCACTTGCCTTCGGTGAAGGGGAAGGTGGTCATCCCATCCGGGCGCCGGCCGTCGCCGCGATCAAGGCCTGTTGGTTCCAGCACTGATGGCATGCCTGCGCTGTGCAGGGCGCGTTTAATGACATCATTCAGCGCGGAGTGTCGCGGCAGACGGCCCGCACTCAGTTGGCAAGACAGCGAGTGCAGCCCCAGGGTGTCGACGGTGGATCCGCACCGGCAGCGGTGAGGAGCACATACCGGAGCGCCTACTCGAAGAGAAAACGTGATTTGGTATCACTTAGATATTATTCGATAAAGATGCAGTGAATTGGGAAAGTCGATATAAAGTGAACACAGCTTGATATTTAAATAATTTGTGAAACCAAGCACCCAATGTTGAAATGCCCTTTTGAAATGAAAATAAAAACTTCAAGAAAATTGGCCTTTGAGAAAATATGGCGAAAATGGACATCTCAGTTGCTCAAATTGCAACAATTTAGCGCGCACGAGCACAAATGACCATTCTGTTCTTCCTTTCGCTTCTTAGTGAAGTGTAGCCTGTCGGCTCTGGGCGCCTCTGTCGGCCGCCGACCATCGTGCAGACGAAGCCTTCGACGATTCACGGCAGCGTCAAGTTCATCAAGGGTCTTGAGTTTGCTCCGCAATTTGAGTTGCTTGATGTTAGACGCTAAGCCCAAGCAGGAAAGAATCCAGACTGCAGGGTGACCAGGGAAGCTGCGTCCTTGCTCGGTTGCTCGGAGGTGAAGAGAGTCTAGCACTATAACCTTGGTCTAGCAATTCTTCAGAAATCTGTCTTACATTCACGTTCGCAATGCATTAACCGACGGGGGCGGTTATCCGCCCCCCTCCGCGGTTTTTCGTGAATAGCGGGAAAACCGCGCCGCGTAGCGCCGCGAAATTTGGTACGACTATTTTCTCATCAATTTTACACATGATGTCCAAGTTTGAACCTCCTATCTCCTAAAGTCAGGTCACCAGGTCACTTCAAATGACCCAGCCTCAAGTCACTTTTTTGCAACTTTGTCACCGTGCCAGAGCTACAGTAGATGATGGAGGCCTTTGACTCCCTGTTTTTACCACTAAAACGCGTCGGAATGGCCCCATATACCATACATGACTTCATACACGATCAACCTTCACTACCTTGAGGTCTGTTTTGCTGTTGGCCAGCGGTAAGGTCATCCGTCATCAAAGGTCACCAAAGGTTTTTTTTTGCCAGTAACTCCGTACAGGAACAAGATACAGCCGCGCGGATGGTATTATTGTGTTCATCTCGCCAAGGCGCATCGAATGATATACATGATGACCTCGAGGTCACGTGACCTGAGGTCAACCTTTGACCTTGACCTTTCGAGGTCAACATATATATGATTCGATGCGGATTGACGAGAGAATCACGATGATGCCCTTAGTTTGTTCCTAGCTTGGCTTGTTCGAAAGTTATTCGAGAAAAACTCACTCCGTATCTAGCGCCGCCATTTTGACTTTTTTGACCCCTGTGACGTCATCTTTGACCTGAACTGAAAATGACCTTGTTGAAAATTGTAGACCTTGTCCGCGCATATCTCATGCCGTTTACCGCTTGTCGTTGTCGCTATCTTGCTTCGTTTTCGAGGTATCAGGGGGTCATCCGCCCCCCAGTCGGTTCTTAGTTGGCGCACACCCCCGTCGGTGCGCGGCTTAACCCGCGCCCGGCTGAGGGTCCTGGATTTCCACGCCCTGCTGGGGGGGGGGGGTGTTTGAACACCCTCCCTTCTAACTCGGCTCCTGGGCCACGTAGCGATACGCGGAAGGCGGCGTTCGAAAGAGCGTCAAAAATAATGACGAAATCACTTCGGCCAATTTTTTGGTCAGGTGAAAGGTCAGGTCACCAGAGGTCATTGAAGGCAAAATTTTGCTGATTTCCAGGTCGAATGTCGACAATTTCCAAGACGCCAACGCATAACTCGGGAACCATTAGGTAGAGTTACAGCGCCGCGGAAAAGCGCATTCGATAGCTCGTTTAACGCCCTTTCTGGGTAATTCTCTCAGATTTAAGCTAACGTCAACGGTTTTGCCTGCAGGGGGCAAAAAGTGCAACAATAACCGATTTTTTTCGGAAACAGTTTTTCTGCAATAACTTTTGACCCAAGCCTTGTACGAGCTTACTTTCACCGGCATCGTGTTCCTCTCGTCAAGACGCATCGAATGAACTTGACCTTGAAAGGTCTACTTGAAAATTTGACCTCAGGTCAAGGACATGACCTGACCGGAAAGGGTCATTTTGCATATCAGTCGATCCGTATCGTCGAGCTGAACACATCTAAGGCGTTTTCATCGCTCTAGCATGCCTCTATCAAAAGTTATTTGCGAAAAACTGTTCGATACCATTCGTGACCTAAGATGACCTCAGGGGCATAAACAGGGGGTCACGGACACCATTTTCATGTTCAGTGTGTCTTAACCACTTGTAATTCAGTGTTTGGGAGTGTTTATAATGTCTTTCGTCCAAAAGAGGCGCATTTCAATTTTCTCCCATTGACTTATAATGGGGAGGTCGCAAAATTGACCTGACTTAGGTCATCGATATCAAAATTCTGAGACATACATTTTGTACATGCTATTGCTCTTAGCAATCGCTTACAGTTTCAAAGCGATCGGTCACTCGGTGTAGCTATGGCAGACATTGAAACTTTTTATGAGGTGAGGTCACTTCAAGTGACCTCACCTCAAGATCTCGATAACGAAGCAAGATAGCGACAAGCGGTAAACGGCATGGGGTACGCACGGACAAGGTCTACAATTTTTCCTTAAGTCATTTTCAGGTCAGGTCAAAGATGACGTCACAGGGGTCAAAAAAGTCAAAATGATGTGGAGCGCTAGATATGGAGTTTTTGTCGAATAACTTTCGAATTGGTCAAGCTAGGAACAAACTAAGGGCATCATCGTCGTGATCCTCTCGTCAATCCGCATCGAATCATATATATGTTGATCTCGAAAGGTCAAGGTCAAAAGTTGACCTCAGGTCAAGTGACCTCGAGGTCATCATGTATATCATTCGATGCGCCCTGACGAGCTGAACACAATGAGAGCATCTGCGCAGCTGTATCTTGTTCCTGTAAAAAGTTATTGGCAAAAAAACCTTTGGTGACCTTTGATGACGTCACATGATTATATGACAAAAAATCGTAACACAAAAGATCGTATGGAAAAAGATCGTAGGAAAATGATCGTAAGATAAAGATCATATTGGAGGGTCTTTATGTGTGTGTCACGAGTGCATATCACGAGACATGTTTATTTCTGGCAACGTCGATACTCAAGGTAGTGTGCCAGCTTTCTTGGACGATATATTGGACTAGGCAAAATAAAATGGGAAATCATTGGAAGGTGGCACACTACCTTTAATTAATACAGTTGGCTTTTGGACGTCAGGTCGTATTCACCAATCCGACATGGCGCGGTGGTGGTGGTGGTCGACATGGCACACCACCACCATAGCTTATACCTATACCACAAAAGAAATGCCACGCCGCACTCGTCGTGAAAACACAACCGCATTGGATAGTAGTGCAACAGACTCCAGGCATGCACTAGACACCGGTGAGTGTATGACAATGTTACAGAACCAGCAACAGATAATGCTGTCAATGTTGCAAGAACAGCAGCGGCTGCAGGGCGAGTTGCAACGGCAGAACGAAGAGCTGAGACGCCAGCATGGCGCAGGACAACCGTCACCTCAAAAGGTCTTATCGTCGTCGCTTCCAGGTAAAGCTTTTTATGACATGTCCATACAGCAGTGGAGAATCTGGAAACGTGACGTGAAGCAGATTGCAGAGATGAGTCGCTGGGATGATAAGACTGCTGTTATGAATGTCCGTCTGCAGCAAGACGGAAAAACTCAAGCGAGTGATAGAAGCGGAGTTCGGTGACCGCTGGATCGACCTGACAGTGGAGCAAGCCTTGGATGCCGTGGAAGCGGTCCTCAGCAAGACTTATATTCTAACCCTGCTAGAGAAAAGGAAAAGTTCCACAGGCTGAACCAGCTGCCTGGGGAATCTGGCAAGACATTTGTGCACCGCTGCGAACTACAGGCACTGGAGTGTGATATGGCTTGCCCACACTGCAATCATGATTTATCGGAGTGGTGTATCCGGGATAGAGTGCTTGCAG